GAGGTACTCGCAGACAATGGATACACGCTCGGGCTCCCGTTCATCATCGACGTCGGATACCATAGAAATGAGGTAGCCTTGACAGCCACCTTTGGAGAGGCTCTTCCTAGCTTGCATGGAAGAGATGACCCGAGGCACAGTCCTCGAACTCACCCCGAAGAACACAATAGGCTGATCAGGAACGGGATAGAGGGTGACTTCGCGCTCCTGGCACCGGATGTCGGCTCGATAACGGGTGAGCCAATCCATACCCAAGATCACATCGAAGTCTCGCATATCAATCACATACGCATTGGCCTCCAGAATTCGACCACCGATACAAATGGGAAGATCTTGAACCATTGAATTAGAAACAATAGTTTTTCCCGAGGCTAGACTAACCTCGAGAGGATCACAAGCATGCACAGTGCTAACAGATAAAGCCTCCAGACAACGAGACGAAATGAAAGAATGGGTAGCACCGGTATCACACAAAGCAAAAACAGGCACATGGGATATAGAAAGCATTCCGGACATGGTACCTGCATTACGAGCGGCCTCATCATGGGTGAGGGTATAGACACGGGCCTGGCCTCCAGTCCTCTGCTGGAATGGCGGGGGCTGCTGCTGCTGGTGCTGCTGATGTGGTGGCGGCGGGGGAAGCTGCTGCTGCTGCTGGGGATAGGGAGGCTGCTGCTGCTGCTGTCTCCTCGGCTCGCGGCAAACACTAGCATAGTGTCCTGGGCGGTTGCAGTTATAACATGTGCGCTGGCCAGCCAGGCACTCACCGCTGTGGGACTTGCCGCATTTCGGGCACCTCGGCATTTGACCCTGGGTGGGTCGGTCGTCACGCCTATCAAAGCTCACTCTCTTGCCTTTATTCTTGTTCTTGAAGTCGGACTTCCTCTTACCCGAGCTAGAGCCGGGCGGCACGGTCGAGATGGGCTGAGCATACTGAATGGCCTGAGGGGGCTGGGAAGCAAGCGGATAAGACGGAACTGGAACAACTGGAATGAGGCAGCTCTCCACCTCCTGGGCTCTGCTCACGGTATCGGCATAAGACATGGGTCCATGGCTACCCACCAATTCGCGAATTCTCTGGTTGAGGCCCTTGAGGAACTTCCTGGCCTTCTTAGCATCGGTGTTAACCGCATCACCCGCAAAGAGACACATACGGGTGAAGGTACGGATGTACTCATCCACTGAGGAGCTTCCTTGCTGCAAGTGGTAGAACTCGTGCTCCATTCTGTCCCAGAAGCTCTGCGGGAGGAACTTGTTGCGTACCATCACTTTCATTTGATCCCAAGTCAGAGCATGAAGCTCTGCCTCGGGCCTCCGAGCCCAGAGCTCAATCCACCAATCCGAGGCGTCTT